GACCTATAGTGTACGCACCTACATTCCCTTTAGACCTCCTGGAATGCTGCCCCACTGTGCACAGATTTGAATTAAGCAAATGCAGAAGACCATGGCATAAAAATAAAGTCTCAACTTGTGCACAAAATCTGAAATAATGTGACTCCAAATACTTTTAAATTTTATCAAGACTTGTATGAAGAAGTTTCCCCAAAATCTCATGGAAAAATTATCTTTCAATTCCATTTTGGAACCACCCCCCCCAACTCTTTCATTTTCAGGCGAGGTCATTAGGAGAATCAGCGACAAGTGAAAATGATATGACCACTTCGTATCACAAAATAGAGAGTGATACTGCCAGATTTCATTATTTCCTAACTGACCAGCCACGGAGATTCATGGCCAAGCGACACCAATTAGCCTACATTCCAACATGGCCAGGGTTGCCCTCACCTCACACCTCAGCATTTCTTCCTGCCAACCGCACAATAACGAGGTCGCCCACAAGGGAGAAGTAGGTCTAACTGAAATGGATGTGTGCTGGGTGGATGAATGGTGAGCAGTGTTTATGCTAAGGTCACAAGGTGCAGTCTATGTAAGTAATCAAATACAAGGGAACTCTAAAAGTTCATGGAAAAAAAGAACTAAAATCTGAGATACTGGACTTTTTTCCATGGATTTTTTGAAGCTCCCTCATATCTGTGAAACTGTGTCAGCATTTCAGGCACCCTACACTGATTTCTGTGAATGGTAACTTCTCTGTCAGAGTTAATTTATTATTGTGCTGTTCATTACACACCACCGGTATAATAACTCAAAATATTTTTGCATCCCATAGTGATGTAATGCAAACCGTGACTAAATGGGAGTTCTAGAAGCAATGTTGAATGCACGTTTCAAAATCAGTTACTTTGGCATGGGATTTGGAAGCGAATGAGTAAAACTCTGCAAACAAACCCAAACAACTGTCATGGTGTGTTGCACTCTTAATGTAGTAACAAGCAACATACGCTGCATTAGAAAGGGGGCTGAAAATTTCTAAGGCACTATGAGAGCACAAGCACCCTCCATATTAGCTCAAGATGTGTGCATCCTGAGAATACATTCCACATTATTTGCTTTTAAAACATTTATGCCTATGGGGAAATTACTCCTTTAAATTTTGGTTCTTTAATTGTAATTCCTGCAACTTCCTTCCGTTTGGAAATAGAGCCCAAATCCACATAGATAAGGAAATGGTCCTAAAATGCATTTTAAAAGAATATGTGTATTTCCCGGTAGGTAGGTTTGCTGATGGAAACAATCCTGCTTGCTGCCCTGCCAAATTCTAAAGAATGTAAAGATAGAGAAAATCACTTAGAAGCCAACCATTAAGTGATAAATTTACTAGCATTTTGACAGTTTCTTTCATGTTTACATTTCTGTATATATTTACATCATTTGGCTAAGCTATGCAGATTTATAGCTTGAGGGTCTTCTTAACCTTACATGAATATTTAACCAAAGCACTAAAAACTGTCTATGGATATTTTAAAGGCTAAGGATCGTCTCACCATATGATTATAACCTATTTACTTGACACTTCTCCTAATAGGAAATGTTTAGATATTTTTCCAGTTTTGTCATTTATAAACAACTCCGTGATGAGTATGTTCACATACAACTTTTATTCCAACATTGAATTCATTTTCTTTCAGAATATTTCCTAGAAAGAGGATTGTTAGGTCAAAGTGTAATGACACAGTTTTAAGTAACTTCATAAGGAACCTTAATGACGGGAAGATGTGCATCCATTAGCAGCGTCATGAGAGAAAGGCTTGGTGAATTATTCCTATAAAAATTACATACTAAGAAATCCTGTGGGACAATTAGACTCCATCATGTGGGCACACTGTGAGTGGATCTGAAAAAACCTCGCTGCCTTGATCAAGTTGATTCCCACTCACTGGGACTCAGGACTGTAGCTCTTCTTTCCAAGAGTAGAAAATCTCATCTTTCCCCCATGGAGTGACTAGTAGTTTCAAACCACTGACCTCGTGGTTTGCAAGTTCAACACCTAACCCACTACACCATCACAGCTCCTTATGATGTCACCTAATAATGACAGCCAAGTATCTTCATACATATTGTCAAATTCCTTTCCGGAAAGATGATAAAAATGTGTTCAGTCTCTCGGCAAAAGATTGTTTTTCCTGCCCCTCCTCATCGCTATCCCCCACACTGAATACGTTCTAACACTGTCATTTTTTTTATAACACTGTCATTCTTATTAGCCTAAAAGGCCTTATTGTTTTAAGTCACATTCTCCATTGTTTGTAAGTTGAACATGCTCTCTATATTTATGCATTGCTAATTATATTTCCTATGATGTAAATTGTCTCCACATGTTCTTAGCTCATTTCTCGATTGGGTCAATAACATTTTTCTTGTATGAGTTCTTTCTGGATTAAATGTATTCTCACCAAATAAGGGTAGGGGGTGTAACATATTAAAAAGCGATGCCATAAGTGCTCTACTTTCTTTTGAAAAACTTTGATTTTTGTCATCCACTTTCTTGCCAATAATCCTTAGGGTCTTAGAACTAGGATAGAAAACAAATTAAGTTTATGAATTTACTACAATATGATTGCAATGATTTTCAGTTCATAAATTGAATTTTACAATAAAGTTGGTTTTCGATCCCCCTGAGATGGTCGTTATTCTTTTTTATCCAAGATTTTTTAACCTATTTTTTATTTTTATTATTTTTAAATCGTTTTATTAGGGGCTCATACAACTCCTATCACAAT